ACCAGGAATGCTTCTTAATTGAAAAGATGTAATAATATTTGGCAGGCTCATTTGCTTTCCATTTGCCTGATTAAATTGGTTTGCAATTCGGAGCAAATGTGCTGTAAGTTATTCATTAGGAAACCCTACTGATGCTAGGTTGCTAAGGGCAACATGTTCTACCAATCAGAATGTCTCTTGAATCATATGATTGCTGTTTGTATTAGATCAACATTTTAGTGCTGAATTATATTCAGATTTATAAAGATAAAGATTTTTCAATTTTTATAGAAAGTAAAATACTTTCATATGTAAATAAATATATGTAAAGTAATCATTTATGATTACTTTACATATATTTACTCAAGCAAAAGATAGAAATAAATAATGAATGTTGGAGTATATTCAAATACACATAATAATGATAGATTATAATACATTGATAATACAATTTATAATATAATAAAATTAATTATAGTATAAAAAGTAATATAATGATAGGTTTTATAAATTGATAATAAAATATATAATATTAATAAAATTAATGATAAATATAAAAGAATGATTTTACTTGTAAATCTTATGATTCATTATTCTGAATTGCCTTGAACTAGGCAAGTAAGTAGTAGGAGGATTAATAATTATTTACTTAAAAATGAGAAAGTGGTAGTGAAGTTCAGTAGTAATATAATAATACTTATATTGTTCATGAAATTTGAGGAAGTGACTTGCATTACCAGTAGGCAAGCTCAGAGGTCAGATCCAGGAGTGATCAAGGAAACGTTATTTGATAAGTTTGCTAAATCTAAGGCTGAATGCCATATAATGGGCAGATGTTTCATGGACATGCCACATAAGATAGTGATAAAGTTCACTGATTGGCATATCCTTGGCGCTCCATGCCTAGAGTAAAGAAATTAAACCCTCCATGTTCACAATACAAAAAAAATATATTTTGGACATCACATATTAAACTGATTTGAGGTAAATGCAACCCAAGTTGTAAGAATTCATTATAGTGCATGCCTCTTTCATAAAAATCAGTGGCACTGGCAGATTCAAGTGGTGCCCAGCCAGTCCGGGACCCCCATTAAATTTTTTTTAATTATTTAAAAAATGGAGAAGAAAAAAGCAAATGTTATTCAAATTTATGTCTGAGAGAGGTGTCATATTCATACATTTTCTTAATACATCCCCTACTATGGTGGGGCTGAGATGGCATTGACCCCCTACCTGTGAAAATCCTTTCCTGGGCCCCCCTCTATTTTAAATTCCTAGATCTGCCACTAAAAGCATTATTAAGAACATTAATTTCTGAAGGACCATTGGTAAAGAAATTAATTAATATTTTTTTGGTCTCTAGATTCAAGATGAAAATTAACAAATGCTGATGCTGTTACTGTATTTACTGTTTGTGTGTGAAAGGTTTTTTGTTGAGAATGAAATCAAATGAAAATGATTTACCTGAATCATTCTATAATTGCACTTACCCTATTCATCTCATGACAATAGCTTGATAACGTATCAGCCACAGTGACAATGCATTACCTTATATGGCTAATATTCTGTACAGTCACACTATTTGTGTATTACCTGTGTCTATATTTTTTATACTTCCTGTCAATGATTTTTGTATTATCTGGGGTAGATAATACATTTGGCGGTAGGGGGTGAGCAAAAGTACACGCCACCCTCAGTTCCACCATGGTTGTGGCTGGGGTTTGATAATTTAGAGATTATGTACCTCTAGATGCCTGGGGGGGGGGGGCGTGGAGCGGTGCAATTGCACTGTCTGCACCCCTCTGCATCCGTGTTTGATTATGATATGTTAAAAATAACTGGACCATTTGGAAGACCAGTACTTTTGTATTGAAAATGTATCCAAGCAAAAGAAAGAATAAATTAGAATACCGGTAAATGTCAAGTTTTTGAGCCTAAAGGTTATTTTGACCTATGACCTACAACCTACTTTAGATAACTTTTAAATAATCAGTAATCTAAATAATGAGAGATTGTTTTGTTGTTTATTTCTTGGCAGCTGAAGGAGCAAAATGCCCATTCTTGGCCGAGATGAAGGACCTAAAGACAGTGGAGGATGGCGAAGAGAATGAGAACGTAATTGAACGAAGCAGCACGCAGTTGCAAGGAATAAAGACCAACGGTAAGATTTTACACATTAAACTGCTATTCAACATTTTAAAGGGGCAGTAAACACTTTATAGTTGTAACGTTTTAAAGGGACATTTAACACTTTTCTGGTAGCATTCAACACTTTCACAAGATAGTCACTATGTGTCTGTCTATATTCATTCTTTTATTATAATTGAAATGTAAACACCTTGTAGTGACCAACCATAATGTTTTTTGTACATGTCTGTTGAACAGTTACATTTTCTGTACTTGAGTTTTTTGAGTGCTCATGTATTTGTAAAGCTCTCATTAAAACAAATCTGAATTGCCTATTCAAATGCGATTCATTCTTAAATCTCTAAACTCTTATATTTTCCGACATGTTAACAATGTATCACATTTTTTATGGCTATTTATTAAATATATACTGTATTGTTTTAATCTGTAGTATTCTTCTATTGTATGTATGTATTTATAAACTGTTATCCTAGAGAAACGTGTAAATTAAAGTGACATATCAAGGGTGCGCGGGGGCGCATACCCCTCCAAAAAAATACTTGCGCAACTCTAGTTGCCTCCCTCACCAAAAAAAAATCACACTCAAGTAGTTAAAAATCACCTAAAATTACTTATACTACCTTATTTTACGAGCTAGTGCCCCTCATTTAATTATTGTGACCTTCACGTCCCTCATCAGCCCCCCCCCCCAATTTTGAGACTCCTTGACACACCACTGGTAAATTAACTTTATTTATTGATTGCTAATATTCATTTGCTTATATTTGAAATGTTAAGTTTGACTTAATGCCAAAGTCTTTCTAAGGTGATATGACACTGGTTATGGATCAAAATTCTATCAACATGATCTGTTCCCTGTAGATTATTCATAGTCATCCTATAATTCGCACAAATTTCATTCCTCATCATTCACATTCTGTACTGTTGAGAAAGATAAACACGCATAAAGTGTCTTCCCCACGGACGCAACCATTGACGTGCTCAGACTTCGACCTGAACTAATTCCAAATTGGTTTGAATCACAAATTTGAAATGCTATGGCGCTTTGTTTTTGAATATTGTTTTGAAACCATATATTTTATTTTAAAACTTGATAACTTAAATTTGTTTGTACAGATTCTATTCCATTAAAGGCATCATCAAAGGACCAGGTAGACACCACACCAGCCAAAGGTAAGTTAATTATAATTACTATTGTGTACCTTGTCATGAATTTATCTCAAGTTGTCTTCATGTGATGTCAAAGTGAAGTGTTTGATTTAGTAGCAAAGGAAATGTAAATAATAATCTTTCACACCATTGTCTGATATTATTGTATTATCTACTGTGATTTCCCAACCTTTGTATCTGAACATGACATTACACCAGTGTATGTTGTAATATAAGTATGTAGGACAATGATCAGGGATAAAAAAGAACTTTGTTACCAAGATAAAAAACTAACTTTTAGTTTACTTACAACAACAAAACACTGAAACTTACCATATATGGTGAATATAAACTTCAATATCCTTAATATATATAAAAAAATTATTTAAAAAATTAAAAAATAAAATGAAATAAAATAAATATAAAATACAGCATTTAAAATAACATTCTATAGGTCATAATACTTGATCTCAGTAAGTTTAAACAATAATTCAATTAAGAAAAGAAATGAATGATAATAAAAAGTGGGAAATATGAAAAATTAATATGGAATATTTACAACATAAGAGTACAGCAAACAAACTCTTACAATTTTTTATGAAACCACATGGGATTGAATGTATGATAGTGATTTCCTAAACAATAGATATGCAGTTGATATTTTTGATTAAGGGGAAGGATACAATGTTGATGTGTTGTTATAATGTGGATATCCTGTTGATCCCTTTGTACGTTTGGCAGGATTAAGGTCTCAGGATCTTGGTTAATAACTCATTCATGTATTTGAGCTTTGTAATCCCCACAGCTTCACATGTATTGATTTTTTCTTCCGATTGTGTTTGAAATTCTTTAGTAGTGAAACTTCTTATACAGTATTTGACGTCACAGCACCGGTAGTTTTTAGTGATTGGCTGAATTTTTGTAGCAGTTCTAATTATTTTACTCCCCTATTTTCGAAGCTTCCATAATGTGTCATCCATTTCTTTGATTAGGCCCAAGAAAAAAATGATTAGTTTACCAACCTCACCTGCATATCTTATATAATATTGAAGGGGAAAAAAATGGTTAAAAAAAAATTTTTTTCATTTATTTATTATTTTAATAAATAGTAGATATTGTTTGTATTGTCTCGATCATGTTTTTTACATTGAATATCAATGCACCAGCAAACAACCCATGGGTGATAATTGGCTTTAGAAAAATAAAAATAAAACGCCTCCCATCCTCGTCACTTTTCCAGCCCAAATAGCGTGACAAACTAATATTCTATGTTAACCTCCTCTCTGTGTTTTTATATTTAATCCCTCTCTGCTTTGAGGAAATATTTTGTATATTTCCTTGCTTTTTCATTCTGAGAGGCTATTTTTAGATTTTCATCCTCATTTTTTATTGTTTAGCACTTGAGTTAAAAACTGTAATCCTTGTCTTTTATACCTTTCACTTTCTCTGATTGGAATGAAATATAGTAGGTATATTCCATATGCTGAACAAGAACAAAAACATGTTAATGATTAGGGAGGAAGTACACAATTTCATTCCAAGTTGGGCTTGGTCACATGATCAAATCACAAATACCACTACAGTATACAATAATTGTATGTCTTTGTATCCTGCACCAACATTCAGTGACCATCCTTAACTTGAATGTCCTAAAGTGTATAATTGCGAACTTTGTCCAAAAATGAAAATTACAAATCCAAGAGACGATTTTGTAGTATGCGCTATAAAAGTATAAAACCATTTCCATTACACACATTTAAACTCCATTTGGCTTTGCTACCAGTATAATTTCTACATTAATGTATGCAATTTTTTTGTAAGATGTTTTTATAGAATTGTTCATTGTGAACCAATGATTTCAGCCTACGATCTGCTTGTTATTGTGTTTTCATACCTAAATAAATAAATAAGAAAATAGATGAGTACATATCTTGTAAATATACATGTGTTATGATAATAAATAGTAAAACTTGTCAAAATAAACAACAAGAGACCAAGTTTAAAGTGGTATCTGTAGATTCTCTCTTCAATAAGGAAATAAAGATTGCTAAGTTATGTAAAAAAAAGTGAACTACAAACTGCGAAAGATTGCCAGCAAAAAATGTATAGCTGTATAAACTGTATCATTTTTAAGAAACAAAAACAATAAAGTGAACAGTAGAGTATGTGATACTGGAAAAAATTGATGATGCATTCATTATCTACGAAGTAATTTCAATTGTGGTTAAATAATTTTAATCGAAAGCTCTTCCTATCATAATTGGAAACTGAAGGATTTTAAACTTATGGTGAAAAGCACTTAAAGCATATTGATTATGCCAATATCCATCTTGAGATGTGATTGTTACCATGTTGTTACTAAGGATGTATTATTTACAGTACCTTAGCAACCAATGCTGGACAATTAGTTATAAGGCAAACATCTGGTTGTGTATGGATTTAATTTCAATGAAGAACATCTTACTGTAAATGAATGTTTATAAAATGAGGCATTGAATATTGTATCCTGTAGGGTAATGGATTTGTGACATTAACATTACATATGTTCTACAATAGTTTCAAATTCGCATGAGGGTGTGGCCACTACTTAAACAAATCAAAAGATTTTCAACAAGAAAAAAATCATCCCACGGATTACTATAATTTACATAATAAACATTAAAATGATACATATTTTAAAATCAAAAATAATTTTTTTCTATAGTAATACAGTACAATGCCAAAGATGTAATAAAGCACCTTTTCATGATAGTTGGTTTACAGTTGATTTGAAGTTTTTTGTAAAACAATCAGGCTAAATTATTTGAGAAACAGGAAACAAATGGACTTGTTATTTTATTATTTGTTGTTTTCATTGTGAATAAGTGTAGCTATTCTTAGAAATCACTTAGTGCCATTGCATTGAACAAATATTACATCATAATTATGCAAATAATTACCATGTGATGTGATGCTTAGTTCCATTCCATAATTGGTTTTTTCATGATAGGAGCCTTCTGATTAAAGTATAATTTGAATATAGTAAGTAGATTGCAAATTTACTCCGGCCTTGTTGAGACATCATTATGGGATATCTTCTTGGTATAATCTATTATTCTGTTTACACTACAAAGATCTTAAAATGTACTCTGCCCTTTTTGAGATGTCATTATGGGATACCTTCTTGGTATATAATTATCTTATTTACACTGCAAAAATCTCCAAATTTGCTCTGTCCTTTTTAAGATGTCATTATGAGATAGCTTCTTAGTATAAAGTATCCTAATTACCCTACAAAGTTCTAAATTTTACTTTATCCTTTTTTAAGATGTCATTTTGGGATAACTTCTTGATATAAATTTCCTATTTACTACACTACAAGGAATGCCAAATTTACTCTGTCATTGTTGAGATGTCATTATGGGATAGCTTTTTGGACACAGTTACAAAGATCTCCAGATTTGATTATACCATAGTAGCTTTTAGATGCAGTCAGAATTCTGTTTTTGTTCTTTTACTTCCAACAGCAAGTATTACAGGATGAAATTATTGGATAAACTTAATAAACTATGCTTACATAACAAAGTGTTCAATGTCAAGAGCAGCTGATTATAGAATATGTACTATATATAACTCTTCATTCATTATAATATATAAAATGAATACAGTACTCCGATAATTTCCTGTACGTTAAGACTATTTATTGGTAGGCTTTTTTTAAACCGTGAGATTCATTGAAATAATAGATTCTATTCAGTTTGATCATAATTGAATCAAAATAGAATAAAATGAAACATGAAGTAAATTATTGATCTGTAAATCATAATTAATATGTTTTTATATTTTAATTAATTAAAGATGATGAAGCTGATAAAGGGACCATCTTGGACGCCATCAAACACCTACCGACCAAGAACCCAGCAGAACTTGAGAAGGAGAATGCTGAACTCAAGCTGGCTATGAAGCAACAAGCAATTAGTATGAGTCAGAAGAAATTCAATAAAGGTAAACACTCATCATTTTATTAAAAAAGAAAAAAAAAAATTCTTGCCACGTACAGGATGAAATTTTTCTAAAGAGTGGAGTTAATTTCAGTTGTGAGAAAAATCATGAATCTTGTAGGATTTGAACCAAGGACACTGGGAAAGGAAGACAGGCATCTTAACCACCAAGCTTAGCTTTTCTTCAAATGTTCCTTTAACAAAAGTAAACTATTAATTAGCCTGCAATATTAAATCTAAAACCCTAAATTTTTTCCCTCCTTTGTGTTTATTCGCAAATATATTTTATATGAAGTGCTCTTTTTTTTTCCCAGATGGCAAATTTGATTACGAAGAGTTTTTGAAGGCTGAAGTAGATGGGAAGAAGAAAGACCATACCTACCGTATATTCAAGAAAGTTGTCCGCGATGCTAATGAGTTCCCGTATGCGAAAGAGTACTCGGAACCAGCGGAACCTTCAGAAAAAAACAGCGATGGGCAACCGATTTCCGTCTGGTGTTCTAATGACTATCTTGGAATGAGCCGCCATCCTAAGGTTCAGGAAGCCGTAATGTAAGTATTGTAGTTTTCTTTGCTTGTGTGGTTTTAATGCTTTACCTAATTCATGCAAAAATGCAGATGATTATGTTGTTCCTAGTGTATAGAAATTATATGTTTTGCCATAAATACACTCAACACTAAATTTATATTCTACTTTGTGTTTAGAGTTTAGTGGTAAAAATTATGCCTTTTTGGTCTGCTTTCCCTGGGTGATATTTTGTAATTAAACTAAACTAATAATTGTCATAGATTGATAAATGGCTTCTGGGTTGAAATCATTCAGACTTTTCACCGAAAAGTTTATTTAATGGTAATTTTCTATTAAAAAATAATTTAATTTTTCTTAGTGACACTGTGTTGAAACATGGAACTGGTGCCGGTGGAACCAGGAATATATCCGGCAATTCCACGTTCCATGAGAATCTGGAAAAGCAGTTAGGTAAACTGCACAATAAGGAAGCTGGTCTTCTGTTTACCTCCTGCTATGTGGCCAACCACTCCACGTTGTATACCCTAGGACAGGCTCTACCAGGTGAGATAATTATTGAGTTGAATGGTCGATCGGTTAAGGCAGTGGTGCTGCAAACTACGGCCATAATATCAGCGCTGGTTTGAGCGACATGCTCGCTTATGGTTCTGGTAGTGCAACAAGTCTTTTCGAATGAGGAATATAATCCGTAGGCCCAGTGTAACAATTTGGCTCATGTGCACTTTAAAGAATCCAGTACATTTTTTAAGATGAGTAGGGTCTTACGTTTAGTTTCTCTGATTTTATCTCACAAATAAAACAACTCCACTACCTAAGCCTCATCATGAGATTTAGTTTATAAAGCTTAACTGGGCCCTGTGGAGAACAGTAGATACCTGGGTTACCGGGTAGCACAGACACGAAGGGACCCTTAGGGGTGAAGAAAGTCATTGATCGAGTTCCTAGTCCACATATCAAGTGCCCTGAGCATCTTATGTTAGATGGATATGGCGCTATATAAAACTATACTATTATTATTATTATATCTACTGAACAAGATAAACAATTTAATTTAAATAGATGTAGTTTTTCAGAATGGATTGCACTTTAATGTGTAGATTTTGAGGTTTAAAAAAGACATTATGACATTAAAAGAGAAGTAATGATTAAATATCAAGCTAGCACTTTGTGTCCTAGTGGGATCTGCATATTTATACCAAAGTTGATTGACACCTGCTATTTCCTCTTAACAGGTTGTGAGATTTATTCGGATGCTGGCAACCACGCCTCTATGATCCAGGGCGTGCGTGACAGCGGAGCACCCAAGTTTATATTTCGTCATAATGACCCCGAGCACCTTGAAGAATTACTTAAGAAGTCTGACCCTGCTGTTCCCAAAATAGTGGTGTTTGAGACTGTTCACTCAATGACTGGTACGTTTATGTCATTATATTGGTCTACAGGCTTGTCAACATATAAATGAGGTGGCATGCTCATCTCAGCCAATTAGAATATAGATAGTTCAGGATCATTATTATTGCAACATGCATAGATGGATGAAACTAAATTGTGAACATATGCAAGACTGTGCATGAAATTAGAGTAACTAATGAGCAATTGTGATGTAAATTTAGACCTGAATTTATTATGGGCTCAGCAAAATAGTCATGTGATCTTGTGATACAGTGCATATAACTCTTGGGATATATCACAAGATCACATGATCATTTTGGTGGTCATGTGATTTGGTGATTCAGTACATATAAATTTGGAATAGAAAGTTGAAATAAGCTGTAGTTTGTAAAGTTAAACATGATATTAGTTTTAAGTATATTTCAGGGTTAAATAAATGATATTTATTCTTTCAATTAGGTGCTGTGTGCCCATTGAAAGACCTATGCGATGTCGCCCACCGCTACAACGCATTGACCTTTGTTGACGAAGTTCATGCCGTTGGCTTGTACGGTCGCCATGGTGCTGGAGTTGCTGAACGTGATGGTTGCCTTGACGACATTGATATAGTTACTGGAACCCTAGGTAAGGCTTTGAATCAAGTACAATGGATCTTTTTTTTTTTTTGACATTCACAGGGTATTAACTAATAAACCTACTTTTAATGCACTAGTAAGGCTTTGGACTTTTGATACAATGATTGAGAATTAAGCTGTGCCTAGGTTCTTAATCTTTGGATACTGCTTGATTATACTCTGAATTTTTCAAATATTGTCTTTATTTTGTAGGCAAGGCTTTTGGTATGATTGGCGGTTACATCGCTGGCTCCGCCCACTTGGTGGACATGGTGCGAAGTTTTGCAGCTGGATTTATCTTCACCACTGCCCTACCACCGATGGTGCTGAATGGAGCTATAACCTCAATCAACGTGAGTCAACAAAAATAGCATCATTAAAGAATGAGGCACATGAACAACTTATTGATTATGTAAATATATTTGCTGTAGAGCAATGGTGCATCTAAGAGTCTTGAAATATTGGGGGGGCTGATGAGGTGGGGGAAGTGGCGCGATGATTAAGTGAGGGTGCACTAGGCTGCAAATAAGGTGATTTTGTACGATATGAAAGGGATTTTTCTTGTTATTTGTTGCTTAGTGGTCATTAATATTCATATTTCAGATTCTTAGCAGCGAAGAAGGGCGTGCTTTGCGTCATAAGCATCAAGATGCCGTGAAAGAATTGCGCAACAAGTTGATTTCAGCTGGGCTACCAGTAGTCCACTGCCCTAGCCATATTATACCTATTCATGTAAGTTTATCAATGTTCTCTAATCTATACAAGTTGATTTATTGATAATGTGAATTTTTTTAGCCTCAATGAAGCATAGACCTGACCAGAACATGTGACAAGAACATGTGACATGCCTAAATATGGTCATGATGACATCACATCATGACCACATATAGGCACATCATGACTATATATGGTCATGCAACAGTTTTTGTCAACGAAAATTTGATAGTGTGGATTGAGCTCTGGGATGTTTACATTTTTTGAAAGATGATTGCCCAATTATCAAATTTTGTATGTGAAAAAATTTTACTGATTCTTTGATTTAAGTATTTTACTCGCCACGTACAAAATATTGTAAAAAGTATAATTACTGTTAAGGTGTTTTATTATTATTATTATTATTGCTATTATTAATATTGCTAATTAATCAATGTTAATTTATTCTAAGGTTGGTAACCCCCAGGCTAGCACCCGCGTCGCAAATCAATTACTCGAGAAGCATGGCATGTATGTGCAAGCGATCAACTATCCGACTGTGCCACGCGGGGAAGAGAAGCTACGAATTGCACCAACTCCATTCCACACCACCGATATGATGGACGAGTTTGTAGCGTCCCTGACAAAAGTCTGGCAGGAGAGCGGGCTGAACTTTGACCAGAGTATATGCCCAGTCCAGTGCGAGTATTGTCGCATGCCGTGGAAACTGGATGCGATGTCGTGCCGTGAGAAGGAATTCATCTCGAAGGGTATGAACATCTCATCGCTGAATGAGAATGCAGTAATTGTGTCTCAAGCATGTTAAGCCTGTAGGGAGTTTATCCTTCTGGAGAAGAGAAGGGCGTTGATCCTTCTTTGGGCTTCGTTCTTTCATAGGCATACTAGACGCTGTATACCCAAATTCTTTCTATCTCTATTAAAATACTAGTATTAGATGTTATTATAACAATTGTAAACTTACCTGCCAATTACTGTACCCCAAATTACTATGTTATCCAACCACACATGCACTGCACATAGGAATTACAAATATAATAAATTCAAATAACAACTTTCAAACATACAGTAATTGTGTGTAAAGTTTTTCTCTTTTATTCTCAAGCAATGCAATGAATAGGAGTATATTGATAATTAAATTCTTATTTTACTGTTTAAAGAAATAAAAAAAAAAAAAAACTCAAAAATTGATTTACAGACAAAAATACAAAAATTCATACAGAATTGGTAATGATTGCATCATCATTATAGTGTATGTCTCCATTTGCTCCATCAAGTTCAAGACTATATATAAAAATAAAATGCAAGTGATCTAAACTGTGTGTGACACTATAGTCTAAGAAGCTTAGTGAGTGCAATTATTTTTACTGTGGTAAAAATCCTAGTTTTCGCATAAATGGAACCTAGGTTTGGAAAGGCAAGCATCCTACCCACAAAATTTATAGCTCCATGTAACATTTTTTTTTTTAATTTATTCAATTATTGGATAAATATATATTGGATTGTTTTTTTTACTTTCTGCCAAGGCTGATTATCCATTTGCAATTTCTGCATAATATCATAATTCTTAAACCAATGTTGTATTGAAATTAACAACAATTATTAACATTCATAACTGGACCAAATGGTAGAATAACTGTACACTACCTCAAAATAATATCAACATTTGTCTTATAATTTCTGAGTATAAAGATAGAAGTAAAAAATAATATTCTGGAATCTTGGCAAAATCTGTATCATTTGAAAAGTTGGTTTCTAATTGGAAAGGCTGGTACCGTATATATTTTTTACTGTGGAAAAACATTAAGCAATTGAAAGTTTGAAGCTATTCCAATACAGTATGTAGATTATGATTATGAATATTCAAATAAATAATTAGTGTATTCATTAAAATCTAGTCACTAATAACAGAGTTTCTACATAATTTTGTCAAGTTTAGCACTATCGGAGGCACGTCCAGAGCACCACCCAAGCTTCACCGCTTCTTCCAGTCTTACTGCCAATATTCTAAAACAACTGCCCAGCCATCTGCTAAGTAGTATCTAAATTTTACTGTATATTGCTCCAGTAATTCATAAATCTCTGCTAAAAATGTACCTTTCCTTAGTTTCAAACTTATTAACTCAACTGAATCAAAACGGTATCATTTCTGTATTACTATTTGTATTATGCTCAAATTATTATATTATATGAGGGAGGGCAGCAAATAAGTTAATATTTTTATTGTAGTATATGTACGTGGTGGTGGTAGACCCACATAAATGTAGTGAGCAGTCAAATTTATATAATGTATGTTATTGTTTCGTAGAAAACGGGATTGAATGATATATGTAAGATAGCGATAGATTTTTATCGGACTGAATTCAATTTTTGATTAATGGTATAATGAAATGAGAAAGATATATAGAAGATACTAATAAATATATGAGAGCTAGAAGTCCAGTTGTAGAGTTTTATTGAATTGATCGAGTACTACGCAATAAATCACCACATAATTATTTCATTTTAATGAATATGTGTGGAACTTGGAATACAAAACTTGCTATATCTCCTACTCAAGTTGAATACTTGAGTTGATCTTCTCCACTGAAGTTCAACAATTTGAATGGATCTTCTTACAGGTCTCCTTTTAAATTGACTTGAGTGCAACATGTTAGCTCCACTACAGTGTAATTACACTACTTGTATATTCTTCTTCAGTTATCATTGAAAATATTTTCCCGCCATTCCAAATTTTTATACAGTATGTACTGATTACTGTGATGTTTTTATATTTGACTTGACTATGCTGGACTCCAGCAGTTATGAATATCTGTACAATAAGTAACAGTTATTCACATGTGCGACCATCATCAACACCTATTGTTCGTGGCTCACTTGCTTTTTAATAAAGTGTGTCTGGATGTACTAGGCTAATGTTGTCTGGAGAGTGAAGCCTATCAACTGGAAACGGGAAAGTCCAATGTTGAATGGATTTCTTGGAGGAATAGGAGGTAGTAAGGCTCTGCAAAAAAATACAAACACAATCTTAAATAATATATGAATAAAGGT